TAGGTGTAGTCAGGTGACCCTGGGCTGTATCGAGGTGGTACCTGGGTGCCCCCCAGGTGTGCCCAGGTGACCCAGGTGTGCCCGCAGGTACTTCAGGTGGAACAGTAGACCCATAGGTGACCCCTAGATGACCCCTAGGTGTGCCCAGGTGTACTCAGGTGTGCCCGCAGGTACTTCAGGTGGAACAGTAGACCCATAGGTGACCCTTAGATGTAGTCAGGTGACCCTGGGCTGTGCCCAGGTGTGCCCAGGTGACCCAGGTGTGCCCGCAGGTACTTCCGGAACCTGTGCTCGGACGACACGCCCATGGTGCCCATAGGTGACCCCTAGATGACCCTTAGGTGTATTTAGCTGTACCCAGGTGACCCTGGGCTGTACCCAGGTGTGCCCAGGTGTGCCCAGGTGACCCAGGTGTGCCCGCAGGTACTTCCGGAACCTGTGCTCGGACGACACGCCCATGGTGCGGCGCGCGGCCGCCTCCAAGCTGGGCGAGTTCGCCAAGGTGCTGGAGCTGGAGCACGTCAAGAGCGAGATCATCCCCATGTTCTCCAACCTGGCCTCCGACGAGCAGGTACGGCGCACCTGGGGGCACCTGGGGGCACCTGGGGGGCACCTGGGCACACCTGGGGGGTGTCTGAGGGGGTTTAGGCACACCTGGGGGCACCTGGGGGGTGTCTGGGTAGGTTTGGGCACACCTGGGGGGTGTCTGAGGGGGGCTGGGCACACCTGGGGGGCGTCTGAGGGGGGCTGGGCACACCTGGGGGGCGTCTGAGGGGGGCTGGGCACACCTGGGGGCACCTGGTGCACCTGGGGGTCACCTGAGCACACCTGGTCTCACCTGGTCTCACCTGTGCACACCTGGGCAGGACTCGGTGCGGCTGCTGGCGGGGGAAACATGAATTGTTCTGGGGGTTTACCTGGGGCATTACCTGGGGGTCACTTTGGGGTTACCTGAGGCTCACCTGGTCTCACCTGGTGTCACCTGTGCACACCTGGGCAGGACTCGGTGCGGCTGCTGGTGGTGGAAACATGAATTGTTCTGGGGGTTTACCTGGGGCATTACCTGGGGGTCACTTTGGGGTTACCTGAGGCTCACCTGGTCTCACCTGGTGTCACCTGTGCACACCTGGGCAGGACTCGGTGCGGCTGCTGGTGGTGGAAACATGAATTGTTCTGGGGGTTTACCTGGGGCATTACCTGGGGGTCACTTTGGGGTTACCTGAGGCTCACCTGGTCTCACCTGGTGTCACCTGTGCACACCTGGGCAGGACTCGGTGCGGCTGCTGGTGGTGGAAACATGAATTGTTCTGGGGGATTACCTGGGGGTTACCTGTCCTTCATTTGGGGGTTACCTGTCCTTCATTTGGGGGTTATTTTGGTGTTTTTCAACCCAACTTTGACGTTCTTCAACCCAACTTTGACGTTCTTCAAACCAATTTTTGTTTTTCAACCCAATTTTGGTGTCCCCAACCCAACTTTGATGTCCCCAACCCAACTTTGGTGTCCCCAACCCAATTTTGGTGTTTTTCAACCCAACTTTGACGTTCTTCAACCCAACTTTGACGTTCTTCAAACCAATTTTTGTTTTTCAACCCAATTTTGGTGTCCCCAACCCAACTTTGATGTCCCCAACCCAACTTTGGTGTCCCCAACCCAATTTTGGTGTTTTTCAACCCAACTTTGACGTTCTTCAACCCAACTTTGACGTTCTTCAAACCAATTTTTGTTTTTCAACCCAATTTTGGTGTCCCCAACCCAACTTTGATGTCCCCAACCCAATTTTGGTGTTCTTCAACCCAAAATTGGTGTCCTCAACCCAAATTTGATGTCATTTAACCCAACCTTGCTGTCCCCAACCCAACTTTGGTGTTTTTCAACCCAACTTTGACGTTCTTGATCCCAACTTTGACGTTCTTCAACCCAATTTTTGTTTTTCAACCCAATTTTGGTGTCCCCAACCCAAATTTGATGTTCTTCAACCCAAATGTGATGTCCCCAACCCAAATATGATGTAATTCAACCCAACCTTGGTGTCCCCAACCCCACTTTGGTGTTCTTCAGCCCAATTTTGGTGTTCTTCAACCCAAAATTGGTGTCCCCAACCCAATTTTGGTGTTTTTCAACCCAACTTTGATGTCCCCAACCTAACTTTGACGTTCTTGAACCCAACTTTGGTGTTCTTCAACCCAGTTTTGGTGTTTTTCAACCCAAAATTGGTGTCTCCAACCCAAATTTGATGTCATTTAACCCAACTTTGGTGTCCCCAACCCAATTTTCATCTTCTTCCACCCAAATTTGGTGTTCCTAACTCAATTTCGATGTTCTTCAACCTAGTTTTGGTGTCCCCAACCCAATTTTGGTGCTTTTCACCCCAATTTTGGTGTCCCCAACCCAACCTTGGTGTCCCCAACCCAATTTTGGTGTTTTTCACCCCAATTTTGGTGTTTTTCACCCCAAATTTGGAGTTTCTCAGCCCAAATTTGGAGTTTCTCACCCCAACTTTGGTGTCCCCAGAGTTCTGTGAGAACCTGTCGCCCGACTGCCGCGAGGCCGTGATCATGGGCCAGATCCTGCCCTGCATCAAGGTGAGCACCTGGGCACACCTGGGCACACCTGGGCACCCAAAAACACCTGGGCACACCTGGGGCACCCAAAAACACACCTGGGCACACCTGGGATACACCTGGGGCACCCAAAAACACCTGGGCACACCTGGGGGCACCTGGGGCACCCAAAAACACACCTGGGGCACACCTGGGCACACCTGGGGATACACCTGGGCACACCTGGGCACACCTGGGCACACCCAAAACCACACCTGGGGACTGCTGGGGGCACCTGGGATACACCTGGGCACACCTGGGCACACCTGGGGCACCCAAAAACACCTGGGGATACACCTGGGGCACACCCAAAAACACACCTGGGGACTGCGGGGGGAACCTGGGCACACCTGGGGGGCACCTGGGGATACCTGGATACACACCTGGGCACACCTGGGGATACCTGGGGGCACCTGGGCACACACCTGGGGCACCTGGGGACTGCTGGGCACACACCTGGGGGCACCTGGGCACACACCTGAGGGCACCTGGGGGTACCTGGGATACACCTGGGCACACGTTGTGGCCACACCTGGCATGGTGGGACACACCTGGGGGCACCTGGGCACACCTGGGGACTGCTGGGGGTACCTGGGATACCCCTGGGCACACCTGAGGGCACCTGGGCTGACCTGGGGGGCACCTGGGCACACCTGACATACACCTAGGGGCACCTGGGCACACCTGAGGATACCTGGGCACACCTGGGGATACCTGGAACACACCTGGGATACACCTGGGGATACCTGAGCACACCTGGGCACACCTGGGCATGCACCTCGGGGCACCTGGGACACACCTGGGGGCACCTGGGCACACACCTGGGCACACCTTGGGGCACTGTGACACTCCGGGCACACACCTGGGCACACCTGGGCACACCCAAAACCACACCTGGGGACTGCTGGGGGCACCTGGGATACACCTGGGCACACCTGGGCTTCTATTGTTTTATACTGGTCCCAACTGGTCCGTACTGGTCCATACTGGTCCGTACTGGTTTATACTGGTTTATGTTGGTCTGTACTGGTCCGTACTGGTCCCAACTGGTCCGCACTGGTCTCCCGCAGTGTACGCCATCCGCGAGGCCGCCACCAGCAACCTGCGCAAGCTGGTGGAGCGCGTACTGGTTTATACTGGTCCGCACTGGTCCGTACTGGTCCGTACTGGTCCGTACTGGTCCCAACTGGTCCGCACTGGTCTCCCGCAGTGTACGCCATCCGCGAGGCCGCCACCAGCAACCTGCGCAAGCTGGTGGAGCGCTTCGGGCACACCTGGGCACAGGGCACCATCGTGCCCAAGGTGCTGGCCATGGCCGCCGACCCCAACTACCTGCACCGCCGGGTCACCTGTGCCACCTCTGGGGTGTGTGTGGGTCACCTGTGTTACCTGAGCACACCTGGGGGCTCACCTGGGCACACCTGAGAGGGGTAAAACCACACCTGGGAGGGACAGGAACACCCCTGGGCACACCTGGGGGGGACAGGAACACGCCTGGGCACCCCTGGGCACACACCTGGGCACCTGGGCCCATCGTGCCCAAGGTGCTGGCCATGGCCGCCGACCCCAACTACCTGCACCGCATGACCACGCTCTTCTGCATCAACGTGGGTACCTGGGG